AAAAAAGAGCAGGGAAAAAAAGAGTGGGAAAAAAAGAGCAGGAAAAAAGAGTGGGAAAAAAGAAGGAAGAGGAATAAGGAGGAGGGAAAAAAGGAGGAGAAAAAAGAGCGGGAAAAAAGAGCAGGAAAAAAGAATGGGGAAAAGGAGGAGGAGGAAGAAGGAGGAGGAAGAAGGAGGAGGAAAAGAAGGAGGAGGAAAAAAAGAAGGAGAAAAAAAGAGGAGAAAAAAGGAGAAGAAAAAAGGAGGAGAAAAAAGGAGGAGGAAAAAGGAGGAGAAAAAAAGGAGGAGGAAAAAAGGAGGAGGAAAAAAAGGAGGAGAAAAAAAGAGGAGAAAAAAGGAGGAGAAAAAAGGAGGAGGAAAAAGGAGGAGGAAAAAGGAGGAGAAAAAAAGGAGGAGAAAAAAAGGAGGAGAAAAAAAGAGCAGGAAAAAAAGGGGGAAAAAAAGAGGGGGAAAAAAAGAGGGGAGAAAAAAGAGGGGGGGAAAAAAGAGTGGGAAAAAAAGGGGGGGAAAAAAAGAGCAGGAAAAAAGAAGGGGGGGAAAAAAGGAGCAGGAGGAGGCAGTGCCTGGGCTGGGGGTGTCCCACCAGCCCCCTGGATCACCTGGGAATGCTTTTTCCAGAGCCAAGACCTTTTCCTTCCTTATTTTATATATATATATATATAATTTTCAAAAGAGCCTTTTAATAGAAACCCAGTGATTTTTGCTTGAATTTTTGCTTCCTTTGATTCCCTGATTATGGAGCCGGGAGCTGAGCTGCCTCTGGATCCATCCGGGGCAGAAAGGGAATAAAAAACCTGGATCAAATCTCCAGCTTTGCCTGGAGGGGGGAGGTGTCTCAGAGTCACAGGGATAAAGGCACAAGGTGCAAGGAAAAGCAGAAATTCAACTTTTTTTTTCCCCTCCCTTCTTGTGCTCTCGGAGCCTCGGTTTTTTTTTTAAATTCTTTAAAAATTTAAATTCTTTAAAAATTGAGGGACTCCCCCCCCCAAAAAAAACCTGGAAAAGAGGCTGAGCTTCCTGAGGCAGGATGGAAAGGCTGGAGGTCAGGAAGTGCTGGGGTTCGTATTAAAAATTAAAAAAAAGGTCATTTTTGCCACAAAACTCGACCCGCCGGAGGGAGAGGAAAAGGCCCTTTCCCAAAATTCCCTCTCCTAAGGAGGAAAAAACTCTTCCCTCCTTCAGGATTTGAGCTGGGAGAGAGGATCAGGCTGTGGGATGATCGGCTGCTACACTTAGAAAATTACAAAATAACCACCCCAAAAAAACCCCCATCCCAAAACCATGGGAAACATGGATTTCTGGATGCTTCCCTTCACTCGATCCCTTAAAAAAAACACGGAGATCCGGGAAGCTGATCCCTCCAAAAACAAGGCTTGTGGGGATCTGGGAGAAATATCTGACTCTCCCAACCACTTGATTCACTTTTTTTAAGGAAAACTGATCCTTGAAATCCTTTAAAACCAGGCCGAGCTCACGAAGCATCCAGGGATGAGCCAACTGGCTCCCGCCGGGATCGATGGGATCCAAGAGAAAACATTCCCTGCCCATGGCAACTGGATCATCTTTAAGGTCCCTTCCAACCCAAACCATTCCATGATTCCTGTGTTGGAGGGTTTTGGAGAACTGGGGCCACACAGGGATGCCAAGGAAAACCCCTTCCCAGCCTTTCCAGCTGTTGGAATCTTAATTAAATCCACCCAGTGGCTCGGCCTGGATTTGGAGGACACGGCAAGGAGATTTTTCCCGGGAGCTGAACGGACTCACAAAGCCCTAAAACGAGGTGGAAAACCACATTTTGCCCTAAAATTTCTC